ACTGTGACCTTACTGAGCTAGAGACATGAGAAGAGGGGACACATGTTGATGTAGAAGAGACATGAAGAAGAGGGGACACATGTTGATGTAGAAGAGACATGAAGAAGAGGGGACACATGTTGATGTAGAAGAGACATGAAGAAGAGGGGACACATGTTGATGTAGAAGAGACATGAAGAAGAGGGGACACATGTTGATGTAGAAGAGACATGAGAAAGTGGATTTTGCACAATAGGTGACCTTTAAGAAAACCGTCTTACCGCTGGTCCCTGAGTCCCCGTTAGTCCCGGTACTCCCATGTCTCCCTGCATGCCTCGTGGTCCGGATTGACCCTCTTTTCCATCTTTTCCCTGCTGTCCTCGGCCGCCCTCTGGTCCTTTGTTTCCTGTGTCTCCTGGTGGGCCTGTCTGTTATCAACAGCAGCAGGTAGACATGAACATTGTTATGATAGGATTATTGCAACATGGGTTAGCTGAAGTGAGAGGTGGAGAAACAGATGATTTGTATTCTTAATTCATTCTTTTGTTCAAATATAATGGGATCAGGGCAACAAATAAAAAAGCAGCAAAAGTCAATATTTTCTTTATTTTATTATTTATTTGTATTTAATTTGATGTCACTCCATAGTTGTTTGGTTTGTCTTTGCAGTTGATTTTCTGCTTTTGATAGATTTGTTATGTTTATTTGTGGTCATTGAATCTGTTGGTACTCTCTTTGTGAGACATGTTGGGCCCCTGGGCCTGTGTCCATATTCTCAAATAACAAGAGAAAGGCGAGATCAATAAATAAGAAGGAAAGGCTTTTCTTCAGGAGTTGCTGTTGTTTCAAAATACCTAATCCAAACAATAGATTTATCAAGAAGCATCAGCTGTTCATGTAAAATCCAAAATGTCCTGCAGCTGCTTCACAGTTCCATCTCCCTTAACTCCAAACTGCAGCAACGAGGTTATGCTCCCAAAAAAATCACATGACGTGTCCAGTGACTGAATTATATCTGAAGTGTCGTGATTATGATGTTTTGTTTATGTGAACTTACCGATCCTTTCTCTCCTGCTTCTCCTTGTTCTCCCTGAAAGGAAAAAGATACGTTGATAAGCACTGTTGTCTGCAGAGAGTTTGTAGAAGTGTTGCTGCAGAGTGAAAGATAAATCATATGTTCATACACTTTTGCATCCTAATTATGTCACTTTTTAACATGAGTTTTATTCCTCACAACAATGCATTGAGACTTCAGTTTCCTTTCTTCTCTCAAGAGACTATTATATAGAATCTACATGAAAACCAAAGCAGATCAAGTCCATCACTTGTCATTTGTTGATTCCTCACCAGTTCTCCAACAGTTCCTGGAGTTCCTTCATCACCTCCAGCTCCCTGAAATAAAAAAGTACATGACATGATTCATTTTGGCTCTAAATGTAGAGCCGTTAAACACTTAGCAGTAATCAGGTGTTAAAACGTATGAAACATACCTGATCTCCCTTTGGACCATCAACACCAACTGCACCCTGAGGGAAGAGAACATAACATGTTGACATCAACATCATTCTCAACAGCATCAGCAAAAACAACAATATAACATCAACATGTGGGATATGAAATACACTTTTATATATATACGCTTTCTATACAGTAATTGAAAATGGCTCATGGCTTCACCTGTAAACGGACAGTTCGCCTCGAAATAAAAGAAACCCCCTTTTTTTAACCTGTTATTCTATAAGTCTAGAAGTTGTTGATGTGTGTCGATGAGTGTTGGAGTTATCGACCTCAGAGATGTCTTCTTTTTCTCAGCATTTTACAGAAATCATACCCAGATACTGAAGATAATCTATGTACGTTGTTGTGGAACTATTTTTTTTTTTTCTTTCTCCCGAGCTCCCCCTATCGACTGTATCAGTGTGCAGCAGAAAGCATGTATGGACAGGAAGCTTGTGATATTGGGGTGTAAACATAAACATTGAGGAGTCCTCTTTGTCTAAGCTTTAATATTAGGTGAGCTCTGTGTAGATTAGTAGAGGCACGCATGCTAAAAAGAAAATCCCACAGGATACTGCTCACAACATGTCTGTAGATTATCTTGAGTAACCGGGTCCAGATTTCTTTGAAAGATACTTTGCTGTTGAGGTTTCCAATAGCATTTGTTTGATTTTTTAGCACCACAAGCAGAGTGTAATGTCTTCGGCCGATATATCCAACACTCGTCAACTCACACCGATAAAAAGCATGACAGGTAAGGGATGTCACAATACCAGAAATGTAGTTGTGAATTTCCGTACTCAATTCGATTTTGAGCTAGGGTTAAGGTTGAAAAAACATACACAGTAAATCCCACATACTTCGAAATATACACCCTTTAAAACCATTTGCTTACTGGTGTTTGTTAGGAAGTTACACAGATTTAAATTCCCTCTCTAATGTCTATTTTTTTTGCTGTGAAAACATCTCCTTCAAACATCTGTCTTCATTTAAGTTACAAGTATCGGTCCGTGTGAAATTCTACAGGTGAAAGGAAAACGTTTTTTGGTTTTTGTGTTGAACTGTCCCTTTAAAGTTAATCTTTGCTTTTTCGAGTATCATTTTTTGTGTCTCTTACCCTCTCGCCCTTCTGCCCAAGATACCCAGCAGGACCAGGAAGTCCGGGCAGGCCGGGGTCCCCTTTACCTCCCTGTAGAAACACACAGAAATAAACACTTTAATACACACTCAGAATCAAAACACAAGGTCTGACTGTCTTAGAAAAGTCGCCTCCCTCCCCCACTTTAACCTGACCACATGCACAGAAAAAACAATTTCATCTGAAGGACCCCCCCTCCCAATTATCCACATATTTCTGGGTGGGTGTGGGCACTGATTGTGGCGTACAGTGGTCCGACGGGTTTTAAGCATTCCTGGGGAACAGAGAGCTCTTTCAAGGCTTCTTTTCCTGCCCCGAATCCCCCCCTGAGCTGCAGGAAAAACCCCTTTGGGCCCTCAGACTTCTGCAACAAGAGGCCATTCATGCACGCTCCCCGACGGATTAGAGACTTAACTGCAGGGACAGAAGTTCATAAAGACCTGCTGCTGTTTAATAAAAGCATTGCAAGAGGATTTATTTCCCTGATACAAGGTTTATCTTGGTGAATGATCCTCGTGTTGAATAATACGTTCAGGATAGGAGATAGTATTTATGGACACTGATTGCTAGCTTTGTATTTCAGGGCCTTGATCTCTTAGTTTGAAGTATTCAGCAGCTGAACAGAGATGAAGGAGATTATGGTGTTTTGAATTCAGGTTAATCACAAATATTTATTTTTCAGATTCTCGATCCAGTCATGTTCTAATCTTTTTGTATATTAGCATAATCCTATTGTTTTCCTCAAAGGTTTTATTAGTTTTCCGAAAGAAAGGAAGGTTTTAAACACTTGTTTGTTTGTGAGAACTTTAAAACTTAGCGGACAGATAGGATTTGACAAAGTGATACAAATTGCACCTTAATCAAGAACTTCCTCGTAGCTATGATCCAGTGTTTTTGCCAGTTCTCTTTTATTACATTCATATAGAGACTTTAGACTTTATCAGATACTTTTTATACTATGATATGTACGGATTGATGTCTGCAGGTGTAACAAATAGTTTGAGTTCTGAATGTAAAATGAATTTGTGTGATCAGCTGTTTATATATGTATTACCAATTTGGTATTTACTAAATGGTATTGCCGTAACCTTATATATATAAATAATATGCACATCTTACAGTATTTTCCACAAATCTGAAATATACTTGTGGTGGTAGCTGAGAATGGTGGGGGGGGGTGCTAGTGGAGCTCGCTCATGAAATGTTCGCCGGAGCCTCGCAGCGGAGTTAATGCGGAGTGCATAAAGCAGACCCTTTGCGCGATAGCAGAGCGAACAGGTACAGGAGGGGTAGTTAATCGATCGCAGATGGCGTCGTGCTTGCGGACGGATAAAAAAAAGATTAAACCTAAATGGGTCGCAAAATATACTTTGGCGGACGTTAAAGTCTATGTGTGGGAAACCCTGTCTTATACAGTAACTAATGTTGGAGTACCACAGGGCTCTTTACTGGGGCCACACCCTTTTTTGAGAAGTTTTTTGATGTGCACCAGATTTGGATCAAATTAAGCATTGTTTATTTGTAGTATATTTAAACCAAAAGGGTGTAATTAAATATAATATAAAAGCATGCATGGTTTACTTTTTATGACACTATTTACTTTACGCCGACCACTAGCATGTGGCTTTTATCTATTACAGATTCACTATTAATATTTTCGAGTAGATGAAAGGACAAGGTAATTACTTTCTCCTTGTTTCTCCATCTTTCACACGCAACATGTAAAATATATATGCCTCGAAATATATATTTAGTGTCCTGGTTCTGGTAAATGGATTAAAGAGATGCTTTGTGTTCTGGCATAAGAAAAACGGACGTAAAGATTTTTTTTTTTTATCTATTTGGTTATTTATATTGAAAATAATGCTTAATTACTTACTTATTTTTACCGAGGAAGTTGAGAGATGAGATTTGGGGTTTTTAATAAATGGTTGTTCAGTTTATTCAAAATAGGCAAAAAGCCAAAAAATCTTAAAATGTAAAATATGTTGTTTTTAATAACGCTATCACTTGATAACAAAAGAAACATTAACCCGGTTTAAAATGCATTTGAAATTAGGGCTTTCTTTCATGTAGAGCACTTCCTCGTATCTTTTTGTAATTGCCTCATGCTCACCATCCGCTATAACTATTGCTTATATTATTATGTGTTTCTGACACGTGGACGAAAGGCACACAAGTAATCAGGAATAAAACTTGCCTCTGTTTGAATTGAACTTTGACCTCTCAAATACAAACCCAACAATGCCCTGCATATTTGTGATAGAGGAAAGATACATTATCTATCCGTCCCATTGTGGTCAGACCTCTACCTAATCCTGTTCTCAGCTAAATAAACACTACAGATAATTAGATAATCAAAATGAGCACGTACACAGTCACCTCTGTTTCCAGATATTCTTGGAGGTTTGTCTTTGGCCCAGTGTTAATGGAACGGTACTGTCTCTTTTACCCATAAAGCTGTATTTTCTGGGTGATTACATTCTCTGACACTGCGTCAACCATTTCGAGATGTGGTGTGGTGTTATTGTTACAGTTGACTTCCACCCTGATATTAAACCTTTTTTATTGGGTCTTACCCTCACTCCTGCTCCTCCTAGAGGCCCTTCATTCCCTCTCACTCCACGTGCACCCTGGAAGAGAAAAAACAAGGTAAAATTAGACAGAAAACTAAAATATTTTTAACAATGTGCCTGTAGTTTAATTAAGGGGATTTGGGGCTTGTGTCATGTCCTGTTAGTGTGTGATGGTTGGCCCAATAAACAAAGAGCAGGACTTTAGGGTTAGAAACACTATGGATGATCAGATCTGCCTTGGCAAGGTGGAATAGTCATTTCCTAACTTATAGCCTTGAGTGGCCATTAAAGGAACTGCAGTTTATGGCACATCCGTGTTGGTTTCATTTTTTACCACCAGAGTTTGTTGCTTGGATTCAAGACTATAAATATGGATGGTCAGGAGCGTGAGAATTCTTAATGTGACAACTATTTCATTTCACTTTTGTTGCTGGTAGAACATATTCCTTATTTAGTTTTAACCTTAGTGATATTGGAAGTTATAATCTTCACGTTTATAAAGCCTGCATGAAAAAACTCAGTAAAACCCACAGGGAGAAGTATGAAGGTCTGCACTCTTAATATTCCATCTTCTCAACATCGATGTTTCACCATAGCAGACCATCTTCAATGTCATTCGCCAATGCATAATTACAAAGCCATGTGTAAGTGCAGTTAGAGTCCCTTTCGAATTCTCCATCCCATCTTTCCTTGACTTTGTGATCTATTTCATCGAGCTCAAGGAAAAGTGTTAATGAAAAGATATAGGACTTCATTTATTTGACCATTTGACCCCAGCCCAGAATGAGAAGCTAGTGTTGGGGAAGGAAGTTAAGGGGAAGAAGGATGCTAACAATCTATTTTCTATCTCATGGAGACACAAAACAGATGTAAGTGAAATGTAGATGCATTCGACTCACTGGTCCTCCTCTGGGTCCGACTGGTCCAACTCCTCCCTGGTCTCCACGCTCCCCCTGGAAACAAATCAAATAATTATCAGCACTGAGAAGAAGTTGAACACATAACAGTTTTTCAGGATACAAAATCCTTTATTCCTCCAAAGGTGGGGAATGTACTGTGTCACAACAGCAAATAGACAGTGCAAATGACAATGTGTCATGGCTATTATATTGTATTTTGTGTATATCATAAAATCAAATAAGTGCATAACCATGGTGCAAAGAAATAGCAGCATAATACTATTTAGTGAACGAGCAGATACTTCAAAACTGTTTGTTGTTTTTTGTGGTTTGAAATTACCTCAATTTTATAAATGCCTCAAACCAATAAAATCCAAAGACAATTAGCTGTTTTTAGGGTAATTTAAAATGATTTGACATACCTACTTCAATACTGTTGCTTTAAAATTAAAATAAAACGTTATTTTACTCACTTGTTTCCCTGGAGACCCCATAATTCCTAAAACACCTGGGTCACCTGCGGTACCCTGGTGGCAAAAAAAAAAAAGTTCACAAAAAAGACATACAATTTAAATGTGGCCATCAGTTATATAGGCTTAGAATATAAATATAAAAATATGATCATACCACTGCACCACTGACTCCTTTTTGGCCATAAGTGCCTGGCAAACCCTACATGGAGAAAACAATATGAAACATCAAAGAAATCGCAAACTTTCAATAAGGAATCAGAAGCTTTGGGTCAAAAGTTACTTACAGGAAGTCCTTGTAGGCCGGCATCACCTGGACCCCCATTTTTCCCTGGAATACCCTAAAAACAACACAAACAATTGGTGTTGTTAAAATGCACCAGTTCTCTTTAAGGTTTTAAGATTGAGACTTTAGGCTTCTTCTGAAAACACACTTCTTTAACGATTGTTTTGCAGTAAAAAATATATACAAATAAATAGTATTTACCTTGATTGCTGGAAGACCAGGAATCCCCTCTCGGCCGTCTGGACCAGCAAGGCCCTGTTGACAGTAAAAAATAAAAGGGTTTACAAAGTTAATTGAACAAATGTGTCTCTTTAAATAACAGATCTTTTTAGAATGGATGTGTTAGATGTACTAGATGTATTGGGTTCACAGTTGAATTGGCAACCAGCATCTTAATGCCTTAAGGAACAGCTTAAAATATAGAACATTGTGCATAAATTGCATTCATTTTGTTGCATTACATGAAGAAAGAAATGTCAAAAAGTAATAACAAAGGAAAAGTTGGTTGTTGGGTAGTTGCGTTTGATAGAAAGAGTTTGTAACAGGAATAGGAAAGCAGCAAGACTGCAGTAAGGTAGGAAGATGGATACATTTACAAATGCATTTATTTTATGATAGATAAAATGAAGCGCAGCTCACAGCCTCTCCTTTCAGCCCGGGCACTCCTCTGATTCCAGATGGACCACGTTCACCCTTTAAGAAACAAAAAGAGACATGAAAAAAAGATTTTAAAGAGTCCTCTCCTGCTGATGTTCAGGTGTATATCAGTATGTAGTGTCTCTACTTTGTTCAGGTGTATATCAGTATGTAGTGTCTCTACTTTAAAGAGTCCTCTCCTGCTGATGTTCAGGTGTATATCAGTATGTAGTGTCTCTACCATATATACAGAAATCAGTATAAGTTTGCAACTGCTAAATTGTGTCTCTGTTGTTGTTTTTGTTGTGATTTGATCTTACCTGAACTCCTGCTGGCCCGCTCTCACCGATGACTCCTCTTTGTCCCACATCGCCCTGAAAAATGACATCAGTTTTTTAAATCAGTGCTTATTTCTAAATAACAATGAGGGGGTCAACATTTGTGAAACAGATATGGGGACTCACTGGGGCTCCCTGGATTCCCTGAGGACCACCATCTCCTGATTTTCCACGAAGACCCTGTTTGTAGAGATGGGAATGTTGTAGTCAGTAAAAGTTTAAATAGGAGAGACATCAATTGAGTCAATGTACTTCAACACAAACATCCAAGGCATCTGGTGACATAAGGTTTGCATGCTAAACCTGTCAAACCTACATGCACATGGTTCTTATTCCAAATTGCAGAAAGTGACATGATAAAAATAATAATGACCGTTAATGTCTTTTTTATATATGTTTCGATCATTCTGTTATAGCATGTATTTATTTAAAAAGTATAATCAGTATTCTCACATGTTTTATTCTTCTTGCTATAATCAAACATGTTTACTATAAAGCAATACAAGAAAGCAAAACAAATAGAAATTCCAAAAGTATATATAAATAAAAAAACAATGATGATTATAATAGTAAATAGAAATAAATTGAGCTGCCTGCTTTATAAGTTTTTATTTTGAAATGTCTTTGAAGGAAAAGGTTGGCCAATAGGTGCTTTCTCCTGATTGGACGATTGATAGTCAGCCATGTTGTGGTGTTTGTATATAAACTGTGGGTGTTTCTCGATGTCGAGGAAGGCTCCTCCAGAGCCACTATTTCAAGAATGCTACGTCATCGAGTCCCGCCAAAGGACTGTTCCAATGTCAGGCTCCTTGGAATTCTACCGAGCCCGGCGTCCTTCATAGCGAAACATTTCAAGGCTGCACATGTGTATCCTCCGCGGTCTTAAAATCCCCACAATGCTTTGCGCACGGACCAATTTCCAAATCTTTGACGGAAATCGCATTTAAGGGTCGCATATGACGCACACCTGTTAGCCTGTTCCACCATTCTTCGTTTTCCGAGGCTAGGAAGGATTCTTGCCTCGCTTCTGAAGGAAGTGACTCGGAAGACATGTCCTACCAAGGAAGCGTCCTCGACATTGAGAAACACCATGTGTCTTTATTTCTCTGTAAAAGCAGAACCTGATGGAGGCTGCATGCTAAAACAAGACGATTGTATATACTTTCTGTCTCTTGGGTCCAACACGATGGACTTTAATTTCCTTATTTGTTTAATTCTCCATGAAATGTTTGCATCTTGTGTGTTTGACGTCTTACCCTGTCGCCTTTGGAGCCAAATATTCCTTGGAGGCCTCTTGCTCCACCGGGACCCTAAAATTACTCAGCGGAAAGAGGAGAGGAGATGGAAATGTCCCATGTTAATATGTTTGACTGTGAGGTGGTATCTTATTTTGAAGCATGTGGAGAGAGGATGGTGAAATATTTTACTGGTAGTCCTTGAGATCCGACTTCTCCCAACGTTCCTTGTTCGCCCTCCTCTCCCTGAAAGAGAACGTGAGTAATGTCATGCTGTGATATCAAGAAATGCATTAAGTATTTCATCTTTCATTTACTTTAACATTATTGCAAAAGCTGCAAATAAATAATTACTAAGCCTGCAAGAAACTGTCTCATTATTCAGTGGTCCTCAACATGTATCCAAAGCTAAAGATCCCTTCGTTAAAAAAATAATTAAAAGGACAGAGGCCCTACTAGCAACATGTATAAACGCTTCACATTGGTTTAGCTAGCTCATGTGATGCACAAGTATACATATGTAAAAGTATGATTATCATATAAGTTGTGTATTCTAAGTAGGTTGTGTTTTTTTCATCGTTTCTTTCACGTTTCATTCATCCTGCCGCATTTATAAATGGTATGAAACATAATTATATTCAACGGAAGAAAAAAAAAACAGTTCACTTTTGGTAGGCTAACACTTTATCTTGGCTGAAAACATTTTTGATACATATGTTATCAGACATATTTTAACTTAAAAAAATAAATGCAACTTTTATAACATTATCAAACGGCACCTCTGTAGGAATTCTAGAAACTGCATATAATTAAGTCTCTGCAGAATCTCACTCTTTGTATGTTGTAAATTGCAGGAATAGATCAGATGCTGTTCAGTGTGAGAGGACAGTATGTTACCTTGTGGCCTTGTCTCCCGGGCTCTCCAGATTCACCTTTAATTCCTTTGTGGCCCTAAAGACAGACAGGTGAGAGCAACAAGTTATTCAACTCATCCATAAAATGTAGCTAGTAAAACAATTTAAAAAAAAAGATGAGCATCTAAAGAAGGTAATATCAGCATCAGGGACATTTCACTCACTTTCATGCCGGGTAGTCCGGAGTGTCCGTGGAGTCCAGAAGGGCAGGCGTTGGGACACTGAAAAACACAAGAGCCTATTTGAGGTCATGGAAGAGCCCCGCCACCAGGGGGCTCCACTGTCTTGAGACCCCAGGGACCAAACTGAGCTAACTGTGACCTTACTGAGCTAACAGTGACCTTAGCTAACCGTGACCTTACTGAGCTAACTGTGACCTAACTGTGACCTTACTGAGCTAACTGCTAACTGTGACCTTACTAAGCTAACAGTGACCTTACTGAGCTAACTGTGACCTTACTGAGCTAACTGTGACCTAACTGTGACCTTACTGAGCTAACTGCGACCTTACTGAGCTAACTATGACCTAACTGTGAACGTATTGAGCTAACTGTGACCTTAATGAGCTAACTGTGACCTTCATGAGCTAACTGTGACCTTACTGAGCTAACTGTGACCTTACTAAGCTAACTGCTAACTGGTACCTTCATGAGCTAACTGTGACCTTACTGAGCTAACTGAGACCTTGCTGAGCTAACTGTGACCTTACTGAGCTAACTGTGACCTTACTGAGCTAACTGAGACCTTACTGAGCTAACTGAGCTACAGTGACTTACTGAGCTACTGTGACCTTATTGAGCTAACTGTGACCTTATTGAGCTAACTGAGACCTTCCTGAGCTAACTGAGCTAACAGTGACCTTACTGAGCTAACTGTGACCTTACTGAGCTAACTGTGACCTTACTGAGCTAACTGTGACCTTACTGAGCTAACTGTGACCTAACTGTGACCTTACTGAGCTAACTGTGACCTTACTGAGCTAACTGCTAACTGGTACCTTACTGAGCTAACAGTGACTTTACTGAGCTAACTGTGACCTTACTAGGCTAACTGTGACCTTACTGAGCTAACTGTGACCTTACAGGGCTAACTGTGACCTTATTGAGCTAACTGAGACCTTCCTGAGCTAACTGTGACCTTACTGAGCTAATTGTGACCATACTGAGCTAACTTTGACCTTACTGTGCTAACTTTGACCTTACTGAGCTAACTGTGACCTTACTGAGCTAACTTTGACCTTACTGTGCTAACTTTGACCTTACTGAGCTAACTGTGACCTTACTGAGCTAACTGTGACCATACTGAGCTAACTGAGCTAACTGCTAACTGTGACCTTACTAAGCTAATAGTGACCTTACTGAGCTAACTGTGACCTTACTGAGCTAACTGTAATGACCATACTGAGCTAACTTTGACCATACTGAGCTAACTTTGACCTTACTGAGCTGAGCTAACTGTGACCTTACTGAGCTAACAATGACCTTACTGAGCTAACTGGGACCATACTGAGCTAACTGTGACCATACTGAGCTAACTTTGACCTTACTGAGCTAACTGTGACTTTACTGAGCTAACAGTGACCTTACTGAGCTAACTGGGAACGAATGTTTCTAAAGATGCATCTTTACCGCATATTGCTTTTACTTTATTGCTGTTTAATCATGGAAAAGGTAGTCAGTTCAGCTATGAAATCAGCTATGAAATGTATGTTTTTGTCGGCTTGAAGTTAGTTAAAGTTCAGTCATTATTGCAATGTTCTTGATTTAAGTTAGTTGCTGGTTGAGTTTCAGATGTCTGAGCTTTCCATGAGCACTTGAACACATCAGTCTGGCTTTGAGTTGTATAACGAACCAGCAATATTGGAATATTGGCCAAATAAAAGGTCCCTTAAACTTTTAGGGATATTTTTACCATATATGCTTTAAGGCTTGAAGCATATGGTTTTGTATTTAAAATGGAAGATGCTTTCACCTTGCACCCTTTGTAAAATAGTCAGCTGTGTCTTTATATACCAACATTTTTGTGAGTCCAGTCATCATTCAAGTCAAGTTTTTTTTGTTTTAGAAATGATGATAAATTGATCTGTTTTGGGATCAAACTTACCAGGTCCTCTCCATTATACACGCCTGGAAGACCCTAGAACAAACACAGAATGTGTGGTGAGCCCAAAGAGACTTCATATATATATATGTATATATTATACTATATAATGTAGTTGATTTTATTTGTTAATTTATTCAAAAAAAAACACTACCCTAAAAATGTGTTGCCCACCCTTCTCCCCAACCATCTAACAAAGCACAGTGGTGCACCCTCTCATTAGGAGATACCCAGCCATTTAAAAATGGAATATAACAAATGCACATCACCCTTAACTATATCAGCCTCACAGATAGTAAAAAAACAGAAATAGAGACAGAAGCTGTGATATTTACCCGCGGCCCAGCAGCACCAGAAAGACCAACTTGACCTCTCTTGCCTCTCGCTCCCTGTGAAATAAGGTTTAAGGTCTTTATAAATACAGCATTAGGACAATAATCTTAAATCTTAATGCAGCATCAGCAGCAGCTACCCTTAAATATACATATTATTTATATATTCTGTTCTTCTCCTGAGGACATTTAGAAATAGATGTATTGCTAATGCTTGTAATTTCTTATTTGTAAACATGACATATATTAGCGATAATACAATTTAAAACTTTATACACTCAAATAATAAGTGTACTTACACCTGGTCCAACTTTGCCCAATTCACCTGGTAGCCCATCTGTACCTGGAATACCCTGTAAACAAAACAGAAAAAAGAAAGTGAAGCCTCTGAAACTCTGCAACAAATGCATCCTTTGTGCATACATCTAATTAAAAATCTTAATCTACTCTTAACATGGTGGAAGACATTTTTAGATATTTTACTTAAGTGAAAATACACAGTGTGAAAATGCTTTAATGATTTTAAAGTTCATACAAAAGTAAATACTTACCTTAACTATAAATGTGTTTACCCTTACTGTATATTACAGTTGTGTATCAAATGTGATATGTTGTATTGTGTTTGCACTCACATCCAGCCCATCAGGTCCTACGCCCTGTGAGAGAGAAATCAGTGATTGTTAGACTTAGACTTTTGTACAGAAATAAATAAACAGTAGTCTTGATGGCAAATTGTTGTTGGTCCTCGAAAAAAAGATTTAAATGCAGCCAATCTTTTATATTTATGAACTGTGCAGACTAGAATACATTCATAGCTAAGCAAACATCTGCAACTAACAACATATGCTGTCTTTAAATATCAGAAAATCACTTTCAGTTATTATTTTAGTGATCATATACTGTTTAAAATTAGACTAAGAGGTTATCAGAATAACAATAATATACAGAAATATGTCAGTTCTTCATTCAGTAGTTTGTAAGTTATAGAGTTAAGCACAAATCATATCTTTTAACATTTTATCTGTACTTTGTATCCTAACATCTAAGCAGCTAATATTCACTCTCTCACAGTTTTGTACATAATCTGAACTACTGATGTGTATATCATTAAAACATAAATGTACTTCAGGTAATATGTGAACTTACAAGCTCTCCAGGAGGCCCTTGAGCTCCAGCATCTCCCTGAAAACAAAAAAGAAAAGAAATGTCAAATGTAATACCAGAAATATTTAAAAAGGAAGATAAATATGTTCTTCTATAAACACATATGCACAGAGGTGTGGCCACACAAAAATCTCTGCAGACAGGGTGTTAGATGTAGTGCTTACATTTTAACAGAAAAGATCAAACAAGTAATCAAAATATGTTGATAATGAACGTACTTTTTGTCCGTTTGGCCCGAGTGCTCCCAGATCTCCAGAAGGTCCAACAAGTCCCTGCAGAGGAGACACAACACATTTAAAGAGGACACCTTCAGGTTCACACCTTAATGTTGGGTTTCTGTAGAACATTGCATGCTTTAATGTTAAAAGAAAACATTATTTTCCTCCTATTTCCTGTCTAAATAAATCTTTATTAACCATCCGTCAGAAACGCTCTGTCCAAACGCAAGACCACCTGATGAAAGAGTTCTGATTGGATCGTCAGACAAATATGGAGCATCTTTGTGGTGATGGTTTACAAGCTGTGTGTAAAGAGCCTTCATGTGACATAGTACGGACGTTTCTGACAAAAAGCCCACCAAAACTGACAATATAACACTTTGTGGTAGGGCTGCTCAATTAATCGTATTTTTAATCGCAATTACGATTTTGGTTTCTAACGATTATGAAAACAACATCATCGAAATAAAAAAAAATATTATTATTATTTTTTTTTTTAAAAACATTATTTGTTTTAGTGGTTTTTCAATTGAATTATACTTAAAGCTCTGGGTAATCAACTGTTAAAAACATACTACACCTTTTTTTTTCAAAGTAAATGGATAATCGTTTTTAATAATTGTGATATCAATTATTGACCCAAATAATCGAGATTATGATTTTTGCCATAATCGAGCAGCCCTTTGCTGACGTGTA